GGCATAATACTGAAATCTTGAAGACCGGCTTCAGTGTGGTATCATGCATGCTTTTCACTGTTGCTCAAGGTTCCTATCAGGATGGGAATATTCTTGCCCCTTGAGTCCTGTTTTGTTTACATGGGAATTGCTTTAGTTAAAAGGTAAATCAAAGAATGAGTAAAGTTGGAAGGGACCACAGTGGGAAAACAATTGACTTTAGTTAACTATTTGTTTAATGAAACATATAGTAATTATTTACATGTATTGTCTGTTACAGCAAAAATTTCTCTTGATCTAGTTACTACAGTAATGTTGAGGCATTTTATAAATAAAAGGGATATTAATTCATAGAATCATTTAGATTGTAAATGACCTTTAAGATGATTCAGTTGAGCCAGAACTCCTTATACTTGTTTTTTCTGAGAATAATTATGTAATTTCATTATCTGCTTTTTAAAAGGTGCTTAATTTTACCCATAATGAATTTTTAATTACCTTTGTTTGAGCTCATCTTACTGTAACCTAATATGCAATCAAATTACTTGCAAACCTAAGTTTATAAATTTAAACACTCTGTGATTGATAAACTGGGCAATAGATTCTCTTTAGAAATAAACAATATGGTGGTGTTCACAGGGGTCTCAGGATGAGGGAAGAGATGAGGATCTTGACTCCATGTTTCAGAAGGCTGACTTATCATTTCATTATATATATTATATTATATATATTAAAAGAAAATTATATATTAAAACTACTAAAAGAATAGAAGAAAGAATTTCATCAGAAGGCTAGCAAGGAAAGGAATGGAATGATAATAAAATCTTGTGACTGCTCACAGCCTCAACACAGGTGGCTGTCATTGGTCATCAAGTAAAAACAATTTCACATGCTGGGTAAACAACTCTCCAGATCACATTCCAAAGCAGCAAAACATGGAGAAGCTGAAGCATCTCAGCTTCTCAGGATAAAAGATCCTGGCAAAAGGATTTTTCATAAAATATGTCTGCGACAAAACAAGGATGTAATCCTGTCAAGGCCAGACCATTCTAAAATAATGAATTTTCTATATATAATAACAAACTGTGAAAAAAAAAACCAAACCCCTTTTCACCTGTACATGCTCCATTTATGCACATATAGAGGCTCACTAGAATTCAACTGTATCCTGTAGTATGTTCACTAGGCTTGTCTCAAGTTGTCCTGTTGATGAAATTTTTAATATTTAGCTTCAGCTGGATCAAAATGCAGCACTGTGAGGTGCTATAGTGAGTTCTGTTTCCTGCCAAATTCTTAACTGCCTTCCCTGTGAGACCTGTTTCATGAATTGGCTGTGTGCAATGCTGGTGAGTGGTACGTGCAGCGATAGTCTGACCTAAAAGTGTCAGACAATTCATTGCCTGTGGTAATGGTGTGTCCAAAATAAAGGCATGAAATCTTCAGAGCAGATGGTTCAGTTTTTAGTCATAAATCTCAGTCACAATAGCTTTGATTGTTAAGAGCTACTAGAAAATTGCCTCTAGCAAGAGAACATTTTCCCAACAGCAGGAGAGGATTTCATAAGTTCAAAAATTGGTATATTAATCACTTTCATTCAGTAAAGGAAAAAATGAAAATAGGTGAATTAATGAGTTATACTCCCTGAAAGTGCATATTTAGAAAACTGAAGTGTACATTATTTTAATATGGAGGCATCTAATTCAGAAAAAAATTTCACCCTGGGGACCCCTCTGGCTTTAATCTGATTGTATGATATGCATTTGAGTATCTCTTTCAACAGCAATGGCTTTTTTTTTACAACAGTCATACACAAAGTTTGCATTGGGCTGGGGTCTGTAGAAATGAATTGAGTCACAGTTTTCCTAGAGGGACAAAAGCATGATAATTGTACTAGATTGCTGGTAGATTACTTAGAAAGTAATACTTGTTGATATAACCTAGTGGTATAAAATGAGCTGAAGTTTCTTGATACCTTCCTGTATATTTTGAAAGGTCAGATGTCTGGTAGTTTGGTCACTGGTAGATGTTTAATCAGCATAGCAAACCAGTATTTTGGTCATCTGAGCCAAGAACAAGTGCCAAACCAGCAATAATGTCATTTTAGAACTGAATATTATATTACTGTTAAATAATTAGGCAGTGACAGAATCACAGCCTTGGGTCCTCTTTTTGGCAACTCTGTATTATTTCTGAATACAAGTCATCCATATTATTTAATTCAAATAACTATAGTTAGTTCTGAGACAGAGCAATAGGACACCAAGTAGTTAAGCACATAAGTATATTTTTGGCTTTTCTCAGTTAAGGAGTGTTAGAATTATTAAAATTAAGTAGCAATAAACTTTTTCTAGGAGTTCCAAATCATGGTAGTGAGGTATAAATTATGGAGTAGGGCTTCAAATAAAATTTTGTGTTGCATCCGTAACTACAGGGTATTAGGATCAAAACACAATTAAAATTATATTCTAAACTGTATGTAGTTAGAGTATTGAATAGCTTTGATGACCATTTGTGAACTGATAGGAATGAGGTTTAAACAGTGTTATGTTTCAAACCAGTAGGATTTTTATCTTCTGCCTTAGAATCTATTTCTTTATTGAGTTTAGTTAAGGAAGTAATTAACAGAAGTACTTTTTTAAAAATCAAGACTGAAGGCCTTTGTCTTTGTTCTGAGGTTAAAGTCTTAGGCTATTCTTTACAAGTTTTCCCCCTTCTGTTTTTCTGTGCTGCTCAGAGGGGGATCATTCTCTGCCCAGGTGCTGTGCAAGCTGCAGCCCCTGGCTGTGGGCGCTTCCTCCTTGATTTACTGCAGGCGTGCATGGGTGCTTTTAGCACCTGTGAGTTTCACTTCAATAGAAGTCGAAGAAAGAAAAATACCTGACAGCTCTTGATGTTAGGCTATTAACCACTGCATCATACGTTTTCATCCTTTTTTGTCATCATTTTTGTTTAAGTGCTAAGCCATGCAGAAAGACCCAAACCCAATTTTTGCGGTCAGTTATCTTCAGTGTAGGGAGTTAGTTATGAGGATATCCAGTGATGCAGATTTTATTTGACCAGGTTCTGATGCTCATATTAAGTATTTCATATATCCAGTCTCTCAATTGATTTATTATGCTTTTTACCCATTATAAGCCTGGGGGGAAAACAAGTTCTGTGTTCTTCTTAATACTGAAAGATCATTTGCCCTGCAGACTTTCACCTTTCTCTTTTTTCTTTCTTCTTTCCCCTTGCTCTCCCCTCCTTTTCATCCTAAACCTTATTTTCTGTCTTTATAGAATATATTCCCCAGGGTGTTCATATTTTTCTTTACCCTCTTATCCAAATATGGTTAAACAATGGCACATATACTCTTATTGTGAATTATTGGGAACTCTCTGATGCTTAGTAGGTAACAACAGATAACTCACACATCTTATCAGTGAAGCTTTTCTTACTGTTTTAGGATGTTATTTGCTATTTTCTCATATCCATATTATTAATTTATTAATTTTTCATGTGACATTTGGCTTATCCTGCTTGGAGAGAGGAAGGTTGAGATGACTGGTATTGATTAACAGTTTCTTTAGTCCTATAATTTCTACCTAAGTTGGGTCAATGGCTCTGTGTCTGGAAGATCTACTCTCATCAGCTGAAGGCAGTAGAAATACAAACCTCACGCAGGCACCACTGTCCTGAGTGTTCCTGTGCTTTGATTTTGGCAGTGCTACACTAGTGTGTGTGTGTGTATGTGTGCATGGACACTTCATGATTAGAGGGTGGCAGTCTCTCTTCCTTGTGACAGCTAGTGTGCACAGTTGGTGGGCTGGGAGGAGGTGATCAGAGCTGCAGCAGGGTTTAGGTTCCAGGCACTGCCATCAGGCTCCAGGAACCACTCAACAGTTTTTGACATCTCCCCATCTCATTCAGAGTGATCGGTGGAAGACGTGTTCTCAGGTCTTTTGCAGTAAATGAATAAGGCATAAAAAATTCTGCCTAGAAAAGAGGTAATCCTTAAAGACACAATGAGACATGATATTAGGCAAAAATGGAATGTCAGAAATTCATTGGGACATAGTGCCCATTGGATACAGGATGCCTGATTTGAGTGAGCATTTGTTGTATGTGTCTTGTGCATAGCTGAGTCTTACCTGGGAATAATTATCTACATACTGTGGCCTTGTTTAAAGGTGCATGCAAGGTACATGGAGGGATCTGGAGAGCTGCTATTGCAATATGATGCAACAAAAGTAGCTGAATGTTTTGATTTGTGTTTTCCTGATGCATCCTTTTTGAATTTAAAAGATGCAGATGAGGACAATTCAAGTAGAGTTTTCTTTCATAACAATGAGGCTACTGTCAGCAATTTAGACTTCTCCTCCAATGCATTGCAGGGCCTGCCCACTGGAAGGAGGTTTTTCCTGTCGCTAATGGAGACCGTCAGTCACCCATCGACATCAAAACTGAGGAAACCAAGTATGATCCCTCCCTCCGTCCTCTAAATCCCAGTTATGATCCAGCTTCTGCTAAAATCATCCTTAACAACGGGCACTCCACCAGTGTGGAGTTTGATGACACCGTCAACAAATCAGGTTTGTTCCTTTACTCTTGCGCTGTAACTTTCTCCACCAATTCCTAAATGGAATGCCTACACCCTGAACATGTCTACTGTTGGATGTGAACTCCTAATAAACAGTAAGGCTTTGCTCCTCTGGATGAGAGATTCCTTTTCCCCTGCCTTTCAGCATGGTGCAGTGTGGGAACATATTTGGACACCAGTTTGAGGTTGTGTTTCTCAGAAAGTGTTGGGATTCCCTACTTACAGGAATGGTTTGATCCACCCCCACCAGCTGGATAGTGCCAGCTCCCTGTTTGAACAGTGTTGTGTACAATTTTTCAAATGCTGCTCTCTCTTTCTCACTGCAGATGAATCCTTTGTGTCTCATTACAGGTTCATTCCAACCGAATCGCTCAAATCTCTTATCTGAATTTAGCTGCAGGTTTGGTTATATGTTTTTCCCTTTTTTATGACCTATACTCGGCCTTCTTATGACAAGTAAGAGCCAATACAGAACAAGTGAAATAGATCCCAAGTAATCCCTTTTCTTCTCTGAAAAGTATTATTGCCCAAGTCTTTTCCAGGAGTATGTAGCTTCCCTTTTTGCAAACAATAATTCTTATTTAGAAGTTCTCTGATGTATTATAGTCTTTGTAATGTTACTGCCTTCTTCTTTGAAACCTTCTCTTGGATTTTGGGCAAGGCAGCATGCACCTCTTCAAGCTGTAGGAGTGCAGAATCTTCAAGCAATAAAATCATTTTGTGGCTGTGTGAGGCTTAGCTGAGGATTCAAGACCATGGTGCTTTCATAAGCATCAAAGCCAGAGAGAGACGAATTTTTTGATGACCCCTTAGTCCTGAGGACTTATTAGCTCATAGTGGCAAGAGGGAGAGACATAGATGGAGACAGCATCATGTTTTTGTTTCCTGAACAGTCTTAGTTTTAAACTTTCTGTCAACACTGGATGTTGCCTGAAAGCCACCAGCTGACCATCAATGATCAGTCTGACCTTGTGTCAGATGCTGCGGAACTTCCCAGAATTAATCTCTGCTTCGAGCCTAGTAGATGCTGGTGAACTAAAGCACATCTCTTAGAAAAATACACAATCTTGATTTCAAATTTTCCAGCGATGCTGAACCTACCACAGCCTTTGGTAAGTTGTTCTAATTGTTAATTACCCTCACAGTTTAAAAGAAAAAATGTTAATGAATGCGAATACACCAAGCACCTCTTCCACTCTCTTAACTCCTTTCATGAAGTGACAGGGCCTGAGCAACGTTTCTCTAGGCTTCTCCTGGTACCAAAGCAATAGTAATGTGATCCTCCTCTCACTGCTTTCCCCAGGCTGTATCTCCATGGATGTAGCTCATATTGTGGCAAAGCACTGACAGATGTTGATCAGATAATTAACAGATGGAATACCCAGTCTCCTTCAGTAGACTCTATGTCTTCTATGCATGGACCAGATTCTTCAGTCCACAAACATAAATTGAGTAATTCACTATTTTCCCTAGTAGTTGTCACTGACAAACTTTATCAGTATTGTTTTTGTTTTCTTTCAGGTCATTGCTCAAAAAATACTGAATTTTCTAGGGCCCAAATTTGGCTTCTGGGGCACCTCTGTGAAGTAAGAACTCCTGCCATGTGTTGGTTTCATGGAAACAAAATCAAATTGATTGGTACTAAATACATTAGCATCTTCTAATGCATTATTAACTGATTCCCATATGAACTATTTCCTCACTTTGGTCAACATTGGAACTGGGCCAAGTTTGTAACTGTTTGTGTAAGTCTGTTTATGCTCTTTGGTACCACATTAGCTCCACTCTTTGAAATTGCTCTATTGATCTTCTTCCAATATTTTTAAAAATTCAAGATACTGATATTTTCCTTAAAAACTTCCGAGTATCCTCTTCCTTAATTACTGTTGGAATTAAATTGTTTTACCATCACTGTGTGATGCGGCACAAATAGATCAACAGGCCATTTTCCACAGTTTTCAGCATAAGTATTTCATGCTGGTGCATTTCTACAAATTAGTTTTTCCTCAGCCAGTGAGTGATCTTTACACTTTTCTGGGATCATTTGCATCGAAGTTTGCAGTCCTTAAAAGAAAGAATTTTAAACTGCCACTGCCCCATCTCCTCTGTTTGCTAAGTTTATAGGCTATGGAAATGCATGTTTTTTGAGTTGAAGCTTTAAGGAAGTTAAATATTTTTCCTCAGAATAAACAGTCCCACTTCTTTTTCATTATCCAAGCTACTTGTGTTAGCAAATAGGCAACTTAAAAAATTATTCTTTCATGTTTATTTGGTGGATTTTGTTCCTAAGAAAGTGTAGGTTTTGCACTAAATCTAGAAGAGAAAAAAATGCTATTGTCCTCCCTTCTGCTCTTAATTTAAAAAACATCTGGTTAAATCTACCCTCATTTCCCCTTAAAATTTCTGTAATGAGCCAGTAAACTATTCCAGATTGATTCCCAAACACTCAGAGGACATACAGAGCTGGGTGAGTGGAGTGATTTGTTTTGCTGTGAATAAGGAATCTCTCTGGGTGTAATTCACATTCCAGGCTCTGTGAAGAGATATTTTGATTCTAAGTCTGACAAGAAAATTATGAGTGCTTGCAAAAGCAAAATAATGAAAAGCCCACCCATATGCATGTTAGTTTGAATAGAATAGAATAGAATAGAATTCTTTCAGTTGGAAGGGACCTGCAATGATCATGTTGTCCAACTGCCTGAGCAGTTCAGGGCTAACCAAAAGTTAAAAGATGTTAAGGGCATTGTCCAAATGCCTCTTAAACTCTGATAAGCCTGGGGCTTTGACAGCCTTTCTAAGAAGCTTGTTCCAGTGTTTGACCATCATCATGGTAAAGAAATGCTTCCTAGCATCCAGTTTAAATCTTCCCTGGAACAGCCTTGAGCCTTACCCACGAGTCCTGTCACTGGATACTTGAGACAAGAGACCTGCAGCTCCCTCTCTGCTTCCCCTCCACAGAAGCAGCGAGCAGTGAGGACACCCCTCAGCCTCCTTTTCAAAACTAGAAAAACCCAAAGTACATAGCTGCTCCTCATAGGACATGCTTTCCAGCCCTGGCTAATTTTCTGTAATATTGCAGTTGTGCAATGCACATGCCTAATTTTATTTATGTTAGTATAAGCTCCTTTTCCTCAGACTTTTATCTGATATAACTGGATCTAGTTGCAAATGAAGGAAAGAGCCCTGAAAATTTAAGCTTCTCCTATTTTCCACCAAATTTCAAAGATGAAAATAAATTCTGCTGACATTAATTTTTATGATCCTGCTCCTTATCCATAAAACCTATATTTTGAGCTTAATTTCTTAGTGATTCTTTTGAATATAATCAAGAGAGGAAACTCTTGAGTGTTGAAAAATAGAAGTATTTTCCCATTCTCTGAGAAATATCCAACTTTGACAATAACAGCATACCCTTTAGTGGGCCATAACCCACTAATCTGCCCATAAATACAATTTTCACAGTCATATCCTCGACAGGTGAGGGTTTCTGTAGCACTTCCAAGAAATGGAAAGCCGTCTGAGACAACTTATGAGCAGGAGCAGAGGAGTGTCCGAAGACTGAAGTCTGGTGTGAGTTTAGAGGATATGGATGGAGACTCCATTCTCTCAGTGAAGCCTTTTCCTCTGTTTGGGTTTCTAGTGCTGACTGGGGGGCCACTCAGCGGGACCTACAGGCTGCGCCAGATTCACTTCCACTGGGGATCCAATGATGAAGCTGGCTCTGAGCACACGGTGGATGGGATGAAGTATGCGGCAGAGGTAAGGCTTTACATGGAGTCATCTGTACCTCTAAGCTTGTGACTAGTTTTCCATTACAAGAATAATGTTGCCCTTCCTCTTCCTGCTTTTTATCTTCCCCTCGTTTTATTGAAAAGTGGTCTTCCTGAAGTGTTGCATGTTTAGTCCTTTCTCAAAGGAGAACCTCTTTGAAAGCTTTGCAGAGGATTAAAAAAGGAGTACGGAAGACAAGAGCTCGATAAGAGCAAGACTTAATGTTCAAGAGTTATTTTAAACTTTGTCTTTCATTGTTTCCTCCTTGGAGAATATTTTCAAAGTCATCTTCAATGACAAACCACAGAATTATTGGATTTGGGGCCTATGTAGTGTAAAGTTTATGCAAGACATAGGAATGTTGCATTTTGTGGTGCACTTAGCAATGTGGTGGTTATGACTTTGAGAACCATGGTTTCATATCTGTGGGGTGCCTGCTGTCTGTGGGGCACTGTGCTTCAGTGGAGGTGGTGTGCCAAAGGGAGAATTGCACCATCTGCTCTGGCATAGAGCATTCACTCCTGCTCTGTCTCCTTTGTATTTGAGTAATCTGCAGGAGGAAGTTCTCAGTATGAGATTCCTCTTTGCAAATGGAAGTACCATGGAATATTTTCAGGAGATTGAGATCTTTAAAAACATGTGATTCAGACAGTGTCAGAGTTTTCTGGGGTTAAAAAGAAGTAAAAAGTGTAAAAATAAATGGCCAAATAAAAGGCATAATACTACAGAAGAAAAAAATGTAATGTATGCACTGTGGTGTGATCAGATTTTACTGGAAATGCTATAAGAGATACTGGTCAGGAAAAAAGATTGATTTTCTAATACTAATGGGGAAAAGTGACATTTGCAGTGTTTAAAGGCTTATGTTTTCCACAGGAACCAGGTGAGATGGAATATAAAGAATTAATAGAGGTGCTTTAAAACCATTAAGTACCAAACCCTAATTTCTAGCTGAGAAAATATATGTTTCCCATCTAAGAAACCAAATGGAAGGAGAAAATATCTCTGAATTTCTAGCCAGTCTAAAAGCCTTTCTGTTACCTGTCGGTTGGGTAACCCTCCACAGGAAGCTCTCTAGATGTCACTTTGGCTTTGGGATAAGAAACTCAGAATTAAAACCAAGGCTTCTGAATATTGTTCACACAAAAGAAAATACCTCAGAAGGAGACATGAAGATGTTTTCAGTGCTGACCTTTGTAAGGAAGATGTGCAAGGTTTGAAGAAAAAGCATCGACTGAATTGAAGAAAGAATTCATGTACAGGTAAAGAAGACTGCAAGGTTTGGCCCTTAAGCCCCCCAGGAAGAAGAAGGGATCCATGGCTCCATTCTCTGTGACAACATACAGTCTGATCAAGGTCTCTTCACAAGCTGCAGTGACACCGCGGTGGTAAGACAGGATATATTCCTTAGAGAAGTCACAAGCCATTGAGAATGGGTCTGTGCCCAGAAGTGTTTCACACTCTGTTTGGGGGCTCTGGTTTTTGGAGGGTTACCTTCTGGGGTTTTTTTTGGCAAAGCCATAAGGGAGTGGGAGTGGGCTTTTAGTAGCTGTGGGAACTTTCCTTTTTGCTCCTTGTTGGGTTGTTTTTGATGGTGTTTTTTTTTTTTTTTTTCTCAAATCCACAATAAAGGTAATTTCTGACTGAGAGTATCTGTTTCCTTTTTGTGTATGAAAAAATGTAATTGCTTAAAAGTTGTTCAGCATAGGTTCTGTGAATTTGTAATAGGGAGCAGTGCAGACACTATGAACTCCAGGATATTAATGCACTTGAGAAAGGTTTAATGGACTATGTTGTCCTCCTGGCTTAGTGTATAATATCCATAGCAACTTTCCTTCAAGGATTTCTAAAGCTGTGAGACAGCATGGGTGTCATCATAGCTGTACATGTATTATTATTGACGACAGTGGGATTCCTTACTTGCTGCAAGTAATGTTTCAGCACTTTAGAGCCCAAATGCTTAACATATTGATGTCATGTAAGACCAAGTAAGAGTTCCATTTTATAGATATGGAAAATTGAAACTTATAGAAGTTGAGCAAGGATTGATATTTAGAATAAAAATCTTCATACTTCTAGATCCCTATTTCAGCCATGCAGCTATGTTGTTTCATGTGGAAATCTTTTAAAGCAGATTTCAGTTTTCCTAAATTGTTCTTACTTTACTTGTCCTGTAGGTGCTGTAATCCAAAAGGAAGTCCTTTTTTTCATGGGTTCATCCCAGTTTAAGTCATTCAATGAGTTGTTTTTCCTCATTCTTGAAGTTCAAAATCTGAAAAGATGGTCACCAATTTTAGGGAAGCCAATCTCATGCCATGCTTCTGAGAATCTTTAACTAAAAATTACGTGTAATAAGATTTACTAATCCATTGAGGATTTGTGAAAGTAATTAATGTTTGTGAAGTCGTTAGACTTAAGTGCTGTATGAGTGTGCTCTCTCTATTTGGCAGTCAGACCATTGCTCAAGGCTGGAACAACCTGGAACTTCTTGGGAACCAGGAGCTCCCGTAAATGAAGTGTGGTCAGGAATTACAAAACCTAATTTTTAAACTTAAGTGGCATGGAAATAGACATCACAAGCTTTTCCTCTTCCCTCCTGGATGGGTGGTGTTTAAGCTTCTTAGGCAAATATGACAGGACACTTCCAGAATAATGCATGTTGGAAATGCAAATGCTCAAACCTGAGATAATCAAGCTGCTTGTAAGGGCATCACTACTGGTAGTCATAGAAAATAACATTTGAAAAGTGTCAAAAATGAAATGCTGATGTTCCCTTAAGCTAAACAAGGGAAAAGGGGTCAGTGCAAGTTTAATGTGTATTTGCCTATTTTCTAGCTATTTATGTGGATGATTAATGTTGCTGAAAGCTTGATTAAAGAAAAAGAGTAAAATACTAATGACATCCTCATGAATTCCAATCACTTTTAAAAATCAGCTTTACTAAAAATGGATTTTAAACCTCTAGTTATATAACCATTGGCTTTTTTTGTCTTAACTTCTCAGTTCAAAATCTGGGGACCCAACAGCAATTTCACAGGCACTGTGGTATGCCGATTGCAACTAAATTTTTAATAATCGTAGCCATTGGAAATGCTTTTGCCATTTGTGTGAACTACATATTTACTGATTTCATGAACTATCTGCATTTAGAACACTGAATGATTCTGCATACAAAAGAGTGAAAGAGAGTGTCAAACCCAGTAAAGTTGTAATATTTATTTGCCACTGCTTGAGTTCAGTGAGAGTTGATGCTGTCTGTGTCTTTTGCTTTTCAGCTTCATGTGGTCCATTGGAATGCAGAGAAGTATTCCAGTTTTGTTGAGGCAGCTTGTCAGTCAGATGGACTAGCAGTCATGGCTGTATTTCTGAAGGTAAGAAGAGAATGCTTCAGACCTCATAATAAATCTGCATTATAAGCCCAAAGAGATAAGAGTGATGGTTTGTGTAAGTATTGCTAAAGAGAAACTTGTTTTATACTTATTTCCTTCATAGTGTTTAGCTGCCAATATAGAAAGCTGTGCTTTCTTTAAGAATAAAAATATCAGCTTAATAGATTTTTCAAGACAGTGAAACTTATCAGTTTGCCTAGTCTGCAAGCCCAAACAACATTAGATGTGGAACTTAATTCAGCTGCCCCCATTTGGATCCCAGTAACTTGTTCTTGACTAACATGTTCATTTAGGGGGACAGCTTGATTTAAATGGTTTTTTAATGGCTTGTTTCTGAGCTGGTAGTTTCTTCTAGAAAATAATAATAATTAAATAATGCAGAGCCAGAAGCTGGAGAATTTCCTAATAATTATTTTATACCTTTTTTGCCTTCTATCCCTGTTCTAAGATTAGATTTGTGCAACAGCTTCACTGAATTCTGTATGAAGAAGCAGATGGGGAATTCTCACAATCTATGGCAAAAGATAGGGCTTTGGTAAATTCTGTGGTTTCTGGTGGATGACAAAGCTTCCTGAGAACAGTTAGTACTGGTGCTGGCACAGTCAGAGAGCCATTCCATGCAACAGTTGCAAAGAACTGCTTCAGCAGTTCAGTAATTCCATCTTTCCAGGTGGCATTACAATGACTCAAAGGAAGTGTCACTGGATTTCTTAGCACACAAATTCAGTTTGGAATGTTCTCACGTAAGAACATTGTTTTCAATGTTATAAGCAGTTTAAATTTCTGATGTTAGTCTGTAACTTTTAATGTCCCACATATTAAAACAGGAAAGATAAATCGTTTCTATACCCCTGTAGTGAAAAGTTTGTAATTCTTTTGTAGCTGAAGTAATTACTATGAGTAGCCAGAATACTATTAGCAAGGGAGTGAATCTTCTTTATGACCAGTATTATTTCTAAGGACCAGCTAGTCACAGGCTTGTACAGAAGATGCATCAGATCTTTCAGTCACTCCAGTGATATAAAGCAGTTTCATTATGCATTTGCTTTTTTATTAATTTTTGTTGCTTTTCTCTGGAGCTCCAGTGTTTCTTTTTTCTTTGGTGTTAATAGATTGGTGAATGCAACCCTCAGCTGAACAAGATTACTGACCGCTTGGACACCATCAGAATCAAGGTGAGCAAGTGCTTCTAAAAGAATACTAGCTAATATTGGTAGTTGCTTTTGTTGGTCAGGTTTTTTATTTTTTGAAACCTGGCTGCTACTCCCTGTACCTTCATGTTTCCTTATCCCCAGTGATTGATACCTGATTTGAGTCAGTTTATGTGCATTCTGTTTAAGTTGAAACTAAGTAGACAAAGCATAGTTTTAACACAGCAAAAGATCAGAGGAAACAGCTAATTCCTCACAAAACCCAGTCTCTGATAAATCTGTTGCTATGAGGATAGTAACAGGGGAAAAACAACATACTTTATGGAAAGCTGTAAAAAAGATGAGGAAAATACTTCCTTCCTTGTTTTGCTGAGGTAGAGGGTGAGAAATAACCTATTGCTTGTGCAAGAGAAGTTATCCAGACTCCCAACATGATGTTCAGACAGACATCTGTGGTCTGGTATCCAGTACAGGGGGAAAGAGAAGTAATTCCTGGGATGAGTGAGGAGGGAAACAAGTGGCAGTAACCTGTGGGGTTAGTCTGCCAGCCTCACAGAGACCATGTTGAAATTCTAACATCTTTTGTCTTCTCCCCACCACTTCCATCTCATGGTCATCTGTAACTTAGGGAAGCCTGTTCTAACCTGACACCTCTCATGGTGTCCTGCTGGCTTCAAGGAAAGTCACAGCAAAGCTGTGTCTGAGGTAAGACCTCATCAGAAGGGCAGTGATGAGGACCTCCTGTCATCACCCAAGATGCTGCCAGCCCACCTGATAGTGGAACAAGCTCTACCTCCTTTGGCATTATTTACCTTGGCCTCTTGCTTTTAAATAATATTGCCCTGGTATTTTTCTTTTATTTCTTTACAGGGAAAAAAAGCACTATTCACAAACTTTGATCCCAGCTGTCTGCTTCCCAAGTCCCTGGACTACTGGACTTACTTTGGCTCTCTCACTGTTCCACCTCTTCTTGAGAGTGTCATCTGGATTGTTCTGAGAGAGCCCATAAGTGTTTGTTCTGAACAGGTATCTTTGGATTTTTCACTGCTATAGAAGTGTTGCTTTTGTAAGAATGGAAATTGTAAATGCCACCCAATATTATGGGTTTTTGCAGACCTTGGCACTGCAGATGTTACAAGATTTTCAAAAGTCAAAATTTGGCTATCAAATTTATTCTGACTAGTTGCCTTTCTTGCTGTAACAGATATTTATTACTCATTTTAAAAAAGAATCTGCATGCACTAACAATTAAGAAACAAAAATAATCCATACGGAACCTAAAAAAAGAGTTCTGGTGATGCTTAGAAATTCTGGAATTCCAGTTGATTTAATTATTTGTATATCCTGCTCAAACCTCGTCTTTGGCATTTTTATCTGGCAGACAAGTAGTAAATGTCTTCTTCCATTCTAAATACATAAAACTTGATGAATTTACTAGAATTATGAAGAGGGAATACTGTTGTAATAAGTGGGGGTTTTAGGAAAGCTGTAATTCCACAAAAAAGGGTCTATTTGCATTTCTTGTAAAAGCTTCATGCTGTATCTTAACTTGGCAACAGTGACACCCAGCGGGCTGATCCTCTTAGGTGTAAGGTATTTCTGAGCAGAGAACACGTACTCAGCAGAAATGGTGACTTCAGTCTTTGCTATAAGTGTTAAGACAGTTCCCTGAATGGGTTGCTTGTTGGCAAACCTCAAATTTCTGTTTGCAACTGATTTGAAGTAATTTATTTGCTCAATGTGTTTATTTTTCTCATCTATATCTCTTCCTTACTCCCCTCAATCTGGCTTTGTAAGGCTTGCTGCAACTGTTTGGATCTAGGATTGGAAACCTGTTTAAGGTATCAATTTTCCAAAGATAAACCATTTCTCAGGTTAAAAGTTTCTTATTTGGGCAAATCTGTAATAAATACGTTCTAAAATGTGAAATTCTGTATACAAACAGCCATGCAACAGGCTCAGGGAACATGGTGTGGGAAAGTGTTAAGTATAGTGATCCTTTATTAGTATTTTTTTATAAACTTTAGCTATATCTTATGTATTACAGTAGAAATTGCTATATTCTTATCAATATAAACATGCATGCAGCTAAAGTGTTTGTTTCCAGTAATGTCCATCACTGTGATTGTTCAGTCAGCACTGTGACTGATATTGTTCTACCATTTAATTTTATTCCTCAAGTTTGGATTTCTTTAGGGCTTTAGAGTTTACTACAGACTTTTTGTTGCACTTTTCAGGTAGAAAGAAATTAAAAACAGCTTTTAAGTTTTTAGAAACTTACAGGACCCTGAATAACAAACATTAGCTTCGGAATGGGGTGAAGCAAGGTAGCACTGGCATTTTTTGCTCTTAATGTCATTATGATGCAATTACAACTAAATGCTGTATTATGATGGAATGGTTTTTGTAATGTCCTACCATTGATAACCTAGGAGGGAAGTAAAGTGAAATATAGAAATAGTAACTATTGGAAAGATTAGGAATTAAACAAAATTCTATACTTAGGTCAAAAATCATCCTCAGATTTCCCAAGGTTTAGACATGGAGTTCTGATGGGGTTTCTGCTGAGATCAGCATATGCTGAGTTATGAATAAGTGCTGGTCCTGGAAGTTATGAATAAGTTCTTCACAAGGAAAGAATTTGGAATCTCTCTTGGTTTGAGTAAGTGCTAGTTGCAGAAGCTTTCTGTAGCACCACACCTGCAATTCCAGGTTAATTGTGAATATCCTCTTTGAAGAAGGAAACATACACAGAATGCTTGTATGATAAGAAACATAATCTTATCTTTTGGCAAAAAACATTTCAGAATCTCCAAGCTATGAAATCCAGCTAAAAAGGTATAAACACCCCCTGGTTTAGATCAGGTTGTGGAAGATAAAGTGTGAATAAAGGAAACAAGTAATCCTCATGCACAGTTTCATGTATTTTGGGATATTTTCTCAGTAGTAATCCCCCTTTTCATTTACAAGGATAGAAATTGTGAAATTGCCATTCCCCCATGACTTAATAAAATACAGTTCTGTTCTTTCAGGTGGAAAAAAGTGACAAGTGTCTTTATTATTTGCATGCTTTTTCATGAGTATTTGCATGAGGGTTTTCTGCTGAACCTTATGTGTCTTTTGGTTACAGCTGGCCAAATTCCGCAGCCTCTTGAGCACTGCTGAGGATGAGGCCGCCTGCTGCTTGCTGAGAAACTTCCGGCCTCCCCAGCCTCTAAGGGGACGAGAAGTCAGAAGGAATTGAAGGAGTAAATCCAGAGTAGGCTCCCTCTGAAACCAAAGGCCAAATTCATTTTAATAGTTATTATACTTTGTGATGTTTAATTTCTTTTGTGAGTTGTTTTTAACCAATAGGTGTTGTTTTATTAGTGGTTTCCATGCAGTCATTTCTCACACACGTATGTCTGGAATTATCACAGGTTCATTGATGTTAACAGGTCTGACTGGGTTTGAGTGCATTGTCTTGGAAGTACTGAGCCATCAGCATTGCATACACAGAGGTCACTGCTAATCATAAGGGACAAAAATGGTGAAGGAGTTGCCCAGATTTTGCCACCAAATTACTGAACAGGATCCTTGGTATTATTGATCAAGTATAGGATGTTTTGGGATTATTCTTCTGGTCTCTCACATAACATTTAGCTTCTGTATAAACCTCACATTGCAGTTCTCAAGGAAAAAAGTTTCAAGGATGATGTAATTTCATTGCTGACTTCTGCAATACCATATTTACTTTCCTACAAAAAGTACTAATGACTAGCAGCATTTAAGTAGGACAGATATTTATATGATCCTGTTATTCTGGCTGCTTCATAGCAGTAATCATGTACTGATTGATAGTTTTTAAAAAAGCAAATAGTAAGGATTTTGTATATTGCAAGATCATGTCAGGTAGAGTAGGTATTCCTGAATTTCACAATGTCACAAGATGAAATTGTCCTGAAACCTGAAAACTGCAAGGTGGAAGGGCGTAGAGGGAGCTGTTTGTGCCTAAATCCAGTTTGTTGCACTTGGTGAAACATAAGGGATTATTACACTATATCCTATAGCATCAGACTATAGCATCAGACTTTTGCCCCTTAAAATCAAGAGGCAGGGGTAGCTGTTGTTCCAGACCATTGCACACTGCAGTGTGAACCACATGCTGCTTACCTCTCATCTCACTGTGGAGCACAGTACTGCCCAGGTGTAGAATGTGTCAAGGTGCTGGCTGATGTTCTGCTGTCATAGGTGAACTTCAGTGGTTGCACTTGTATTCCAAGACCAAAGAGAATAGTCAGAGACAGCCAAAGAAATTGGAATCATGTCAACATATAATAAAAAGCTCAGCCCTTAGTAGCAATATGTTGAAACTTCTGTCTTTATAAGTTGACTTGAGCCAGCGTTTCTCTCAGGAGCCTTTTTTATCTGAATAAAATTGGGGTTTTTTTACACGAAATATTTTTATTAATGAACATGCCATAGGATGTAGCTTAGGATAGAATTAGATTTACTCTCAAACTGTGAGAACTACATAGTTAAATCAAGTGAGTGATACCTGAAAGAGGCAGCTAGAGGTTTTACTGGCAGCAACTAACACCAATCTCTGTAGTACTTCTGATGAATTCATCTTCCATAACTGCTCTCCTTTAGTTAATTTTTAAATAGGTTTTATATGCTCTGCCTTTTACCTTCATGGGTCATTTGATCTTAGATGAACAAAGATGAGGGAAATCACAATTGGGATTGACTTTATATGCTGTTTTAGAACAATAAATTAGACATAGTGATATAGGTATTTTATCTCAGTTGAAGATATGTGGAATTCTTTGTTTTCTTCTCCCCAGAATATAGCTATTATATTCTGCAAGGCGTCCCAATGCCTTTTGAGTATTTTCTGAAGAAAAGAACACAGACCATTGAAGAAAAAAAAAGGCATTTAGCAGCACTAAAAAGAAGAGTGAGAGTGTGTTGTATGTTTTCACTCCCTTTTTTAGACTTAGGATTGGATCTCATGTGTTTCCCTGTTATGTGAGTAGCTACAGAATGTGGAAAAAATGTTCACAAATTGCAGGAAGGATACAAAGGATTTGTTGGTCTCAAAAGAGAAAGAAATAAGGCTACTTCTTTATATTGTAAACAGAAGTTTTACATATTTCTTACATATTGTAAACAGTGGAGTTGATTAATTCTTTTATATTTATAAGGGTTTTATCAAAATAAAATATGGATTTTATGAATGTGTCATGTATTTTCTATTGAAGAACCTAAAGTTTTACAGAGAAGTCTATACTTTTATAGTTAACAGCTGCAGCTTTAGGTTTGGAAAAAATGGTCACCCATCATTTGAAGTCTGTCTTTGGGTAGTGTAGTATTAGGTATGTCTTTATGTTCCAAATAAAATATTTTTGGTAGTGGTAAGACATGTAATCCATTCTTCAAGTTTCTGATAGTGCATTTTTGAACTATTGATGATTTTTATAGTTATGCTGATAAGTTTTAGAGGAAGTCATCGTTCAAATAATTCCCCTTTTGTGGAGATGCCATGTTCATGTTAGATTAGCCTAGCTGAAAGTTAGTGGTGACATTTGAAAAAGAGTAGAAATGCTCAGTTACCTGAAATCCTTTGGGAACAGCTTCTCAGGTTATCCATCCCCTACAACCGTAAAGTGAGAATTTGGACACAGTCTCAGCTCTGAGCACTTGGTTGCACCCTCAGTCACTAATTTCCTGTGTGCCCAAGCTACACTGAACCTCAAACAGACCACTCAATTTGCCCCCAGAGAATCTTATCTCAAGTATGAGCTCCATATTGTCCTCTACAGCAACTGAGGCTGAAATATGTTGTCACCCCACCAAACCCCTGCAGCCACATGTCCCTTTGATCAACTCTTAACTCTCTCACACACTTGAAGCCTTTATATTAAGAAGAACGAAATGCTCAGTGACCAAAAAAAACATAGAGTGTATTTGCTGAAAATAGTAGCTGTCAAGAATTGTGGACTGCTGGAAGGTTGATCACCCATAAACTTATTCTCAGAATTAAATAAACCACAGCAGAGCCCTGGGGTCAGCTCTGCTGGTTTTGGCACAGGAGGGAAGCAGTCTGCTCTGCTATGCTAATAGCATTTGCTGTCATTCTCATGATGTTTTTAATGTTGCACATGTTTAACATCAGCTGGGAATTTTCTTTATGTCAAACAAAAACCTGAGAAGTAGCACTCTTCCCTTCTGGAGTACAGTGGGCTGAAGATACACCAGACATCTGTTTGATGCCATACACCCATTTGCTATGTACCTATGTTTTCTCTGCTGGTTTAGAGATTTGTCTCTCAGTTGCTTCCAGACATGAAATGTGACCTAAAGGAATTCTAAGAATGAATTTGAAGAAAAAAAAAACCAAGTCATCAATTAATAAATCTCACAGAAAAAAAAAAAGTGGAATATGACATGAATAAAACAACATCAATGAAACATATATATGTTATACAGTTTCTATAAACTTAATGGAAAGGAAATTCTGGATTTAGATTCTTGTAACTTTAAATAGGCAAGGGACAGATTATGAGATAAATCTTCAGATGTTAAAAGCTGCAAATAATTGAGAAACTTGCAGCATCTTTAGGTTGTAAACTCAGTATAAAAGTATGAATACCAGAGGAATCTTGCTCAAGTGATGTAGCTTCTTTCTTTTACTGTCTATTAATTAGTCTAAAAAAACCATGGTGACAATTTCCCTTATCACTCTGCTAATAAATGGACTGCAACTAACTTCTGACCTAGCTGTTACATTTTTTGTTCTCCCACACAATCTGATCTTGTTTTCTAGTTATAGATGCAAAATACAGAGATTTGGTCTGTGATTTAATCTCTTAGATACTGTTATTTCTGTGTATCTTATTTGTGAAGTAACTGATTCAGTGACAGGGGACCTTCTCTGTGTGTCTGCTCTTTTTGTGAGACAGGAGATGATACTGAAATGCTGAAATAAAAATGTTTCTAAATTCATGGTTTTTTTCCTGTTTCTGTCAACCTCTCCATCATTTATGCCAAGCACAAGTTTTTACTGTGGTGAAACATTTGCATGTATGATCTGTGTCTCTTCTCCTGTGCAGCAGAATTTGAGGAGAGGGAATATCTCTGACAGGAGACTACTGGATTGTCATATGAAAACAAAGATTCTCGGCCTCTGATTAACAGACATGATATGTTGCACTGTCGATTTCTGTGTCTGTTTCTATTTTATCAAATTTCACCCACATACTTGGGTAGATAAATATGAATAATTTGTAGATACTACTGACAGTTTCATTCATCAGCTGAAAATCATATAGGTTACGTGCAACAGGTAGAAAAAATATATGTTTTTGTGAAGATCTGATTTAATTATTTTTCTGTCTCTGGTTTGTAAATATTTTGAATGAAGTATCAATGTTTAAATGTCAAAACTACTTCCATTCTTTTCCTTTCTACAGTTGTATGAACAATAGACAGAAATGTGGCCTCAATATTTCTTATTTAGCAGCACTTTGGTGATTTTGGGGAAAAAATGAACCCAGTCATTCTTGGTGTTTTTCTGAGAATTTTTCTTGATTTATGTTTTCCCTTTGTCCTGTTGAAGCTTCAACTTTTTTTATGTTTTATATTTTCATTAATAAACTGGCAAATGGTGCTGATAATATAAAATCTTCCCCTGTCAGAAACAGATGATTGATTGAGAATAGGGATATTGGGTTAGAGAAAATGATAACAGACTAAGCTGTAGTAAGTAATCTAAAATTCTGAACTGACTGGGAAAAACTGAGTGGTGAGATTTGGAGAAGATAAAGAAAAACGCTAAAGATAAAAGAGGTACTCTAAAAGCCTTCTGATAGGAAAAGAGGCCCTTTGCACATTGCTTTTGCCAATAGATGTCACTGTGAATAAGGCAATGGTCACCTGCCCACTGACACAGCATCCTGAATGAGACCCATGCTGTCCTGAAGGCTCAGCCTGTGAAAGAAGGGTATGCAATATAACTCATGTATTAAGGATGTGCTGTTGATAGTGATTTACTTCCTTTCTTAAAAGTGAAACAAGATTGTGAAAAAAAAAAATTTGCATAACAGAAGATACTCAGATTAAAAAAAACCAAACATAATTATGTGAACCTGTGCATTTAAATGCTCCCCTGTTTTCCATAAGCAATTACTGTTACATAGTTTCACACATGCCTAAAGCCACGTGCCAGAAATTTCCCCAAGCATTAAAAGAAAAAAAGAAATCAGTCATTTGTGTGCAGGGAGCCTGAATGGTGCATGGCCACATCAGCACTACCAAGCAGGCTCTGTAGGTCTGGCATGTTCTGGCTTACCTGGACATCCCTGAGCCCATGGAAAGCCATTGGGCAAATCATGGGCAGCAGGGCAGACTATGCCAGTGCCTTAAATTCTGGCTGCAAGCTCAGGGCAAGGACAAATTCACACATACAGTAAATACAGCTGAACATAGGTAATAATCATTAACCAGTTGTGGGGTTTTTTAAAAGGGTTCAGTCAAGATTCATATGGAAAATCTGATCAGTTATTTAAACCAGATTCTGCTTCAGTTTTCTGAGTCAGATGAATGGTGATGCTATTTCAGCCATGGCACCATTGTTGCTTCATTCTCTGCATGAGGTTCCAGAAAGGGCTTCTCTACCTGTCTCTCTCAGTTATATTTAAATATCACTGTAAGGACTCAAGGCAGGCTCCTTGGTTCACACAAGCACACTGTAAATGTGAATGTAAATGTGTGTTAAAAGAGCTTTTTGGTATTTCAAAAGTCACATCAGTCAGGTGAAGTCCCTGGTGTCTGGAAAAAATGAAAGATTGCACCCATTTTTTAAAAGGGTAGAAAGGAGCACCTCAGGAACTACTGACCTGTCAGCATCACCTCTCTTCTGGGAAGGTCATGGAAGAGATCCTCTTAGAAACTTTGCTAAGGTACAGGGAGGACAGGGAGGCAATTTGAGATGTTCAGCATGGCTTCACCAAGGGCAAATCCTGCCTCACTAAACTAGTGGTCTTCTAGGTTGAAGTGACTACATCAGTGAACCAGGGAGGAGCCATGGATGTTATCTCTCAGGACTTCTGTAAGACCTTTGACACAGTCCCACACAACACCCTTCCAAACTGGAGAGGGATTGATGGGATGGGTGGACTGTTCAGTGATGAAAAATAGCTCACATATCATGCAGAGGGTATTGGTCAATGGCTGAATGTCCTGGACATCGGTGACAAGTGGTGTCCCTGAGTGTCTATACTGGGACCAGTAGTGTTTAGTGTCTTCAGCAATGACACAGACAGTGGCATCAAGTGCACCCTCAGTAAGCTGGTGAATGACACCAAGCTGAGTGGTGCAGTTGACACAGCTGTAGGATGGGATGCCACCTAGAGGGACCTGAAGAAGCTGGAGAAGTGGACGAGGTTCAGTAAGATGAAGTGCAAGGTGCTGCACCTGTGTCAGGGCAGGTTGATACCTTTGGTATCAACACAGGCTGGGCATGAACAGATCTTGGCCTGGCCAAGAATGATTTAGGGGTCCTGATGGATGAGAGGCTGGATGTGAGCTGGCAATGTGCACCCACAGCCCAGAAAGCCAAATGTGTCCTTGGCTGCATCTCTTTGTTGAATTTATTTGCATATCTGTCATTTATATTGCTCTGGATTTCTTCCTTTGAGTCAGCATACAGAGGGTATACACAGCCCACACGGCCCCCACCTCTGGGTTATGGCAATCAGGATGTAATCTAGCAATCTACCCCTGCAGTGCAGCCATGGCCAAGTGGGAACACCCAAGATAGAGCTGAACAGCACTTGGGTAAACATGCTGCTTAGGAGTGATATTGCATAAATAATACAGAAGTCTCATGATTGTGCATCAGTTTTCCCTAGTGACTGGTGCATTGCATCCCAGCATTGTGTTCAGAGGTGCCTGTAGAAGCATTCCCACTAAGTTCCTGCTAAACTGGGTTGAGATTTAAAAGAAAAAAACAACTCAACTAAGGTCTCTTGCATCTTGCATCCAGTAATTCATGCAGGAGGAAAACATGACTGACTGAACAGCTTATTATTGTAATAGAGAAAGCTCCATTTAGTTTTCTGGAAAGTGTGTATTCCTGTTTAGTTGTGCTTTACATACTGTTATATATATGTCTGTAGTGAACTAATTTTCTTTTATGGCTTAAGGCCCTTTAGAATCAGTAGCCATCTCAGC